TTTACGCATATATCACGTTGATCACGTATTTTTATGTTCGCGAATAGAATCCGGTGGGTACTCACTTATATGTATTGATAAAGGGTCTGGACAAGGTATTACGCGTAGTTCGGAGGTGGTTGAATTTACGAATTAGTTGGGTTGATTATTGGGCTGAACTCAAGCAGGATATCAGTTGCATTGTGTTGTGAACCGTTTGGCGCCGGTGTAGCCTTGTTTGCTATTTGATCACAGATGGAGTTTTTTAGTTCGGCGGTGCGCGCCCCCGGCCGGGGCACAATACACCAGTTTCAACCCACACATAAACACCAACAGACTTATCCCGACGTCATTGGTTTAGATAAATACGAGGGACAAACACACCCAAACAACGGTTAAATGTCCTTTACCACAACATCAGGCCTGAGGGACCCATACCGTAGGACTAATATCACTAAAAGATACCAAGTCCATTGTTATAACGTCGGGGTATTTTACTTGTCAAAGTGTACCCTTATAACGGCCTCCGCGCAGACCTCATGGTAAGGCCAGCACGATGATTCTCTTGCTTGGACCATTTTGTTTGTTTGAGTTCATTTGATGCTCGGATTCTACGTAAGGGACATAAAGTAACACGTATGCGAGCGGAGATGAACTTCATCTTGGTGAAGTCTCATCGCGCCGAATTCACCTATTTCAGTAGATACGAGTCATGTGACCACTTTATCTTTGCCCTACGGTCTGGTCTGCTGAGCCTACCCTACTTATAACCTATATTATCATATATATACTATAGATCATATACTAGTATATATAGTACCCACCCCTCAGTCTGGCTACAGCCGGGTGGCTTTATACACCTACACAACACCAAAAAAACACATATCCCTCAACATGTTTTTTTGTACTCGCCGTGAAGTGGTTTTGCGGCCTGCCAGTAAACCAGAGGCCGAAAAGAAACAGAGTGACGACACAATCTTGCTCAGGAAGTAGCTGCGCGGTAGGTGAATGCGATTGGCACTGAGCCTCCTGGTGGATGCCTAGTGGCCGTGCCGTGGATTCAGTGCCGTGGTACTTTAGTGCCGGCACTAAAGTACGGCAAGTCCTGCGGTGTGAAAGCGGCTATACGCGAGCGTTCCCACACTGAAGTTGTATAAACGTAGCTGGCAAATCAGGGCGACTCCGAGCCTACCTGAATGCACGCGCAGGCTCACAGTATATAAGGCGGCTACGCCTCCTGACTGTCATCACCTGAGCAGTCGCCCCTGCAGGAAACCCGTGCCTATCCCTCATGCCCGGCTTAATAGCGGGCGCCGATCCCCACCAGCTCTGTTTAGAGTGCCTGGACCACGCCGAAGACGAGCTCTAGGTGGTGGATGTGGGAGACCAGGATATGGCCGAGGCGACGCCACCAACGTTCGCCATCCCAGCCGTGCGGGTTATGGCTCCGTTTGCTGAGGAGGAAGAAGATGACTTCGTCCCCCCACCACTGCCGCCGAAGCCGGCCGCCTCCGCCAGGGGTTTTACGATCTGGCCCGCCCGGCGCAACCGGCTTTCGTCTCGCCCCCGTTGCCAGATATCTGGCAGTGTGTGGAGGCGTCGAGTCAGCAGCCACTGAAAACGAGAGAACCGGTGGCAGGAATGGTAGGTATTCTAAGGGTGCGGGGCCGCAAGGAGCCCTCATATATCCCTGCGTGCCCCCCCCTCGATTAGAGCCTTTGAGCGGATGGCCGCGGCTGCAAATAACACGGGTGTGTTGGGCGTCTCGCTGATTATTCCTCCGCAAGATGCCCTCACCTCGCCGGATCAGACCGATTATTTAAACTGCAGCATCGGCCAAATTAATAACTTTATCCATGGTGTTGCAGCCGCTGCTGGCCGGGTGATGTCCCTGGCCACAGTGGGATCACGAGAGACCAACGGCTGGCTGGGACTCCCGGCATTCTCCAAAAAGTGACCGTGATGATCTCTTGGGAGCCCCCGTGTTTACGGAGGGGCTCTTTGGATCGATAGCCTCGGTCACGCAGCGTTTAAAAAGCAGCGTTTAAAAAGCAGCGCTATTGTGAGCACACTCCCGCTGTAAACTGCAGTAAAGGAAGCAGCAGGTGGGCGCGCGCACGTGAGTGTAATGAACCACAGAAAGTGCTGTCGAAGCACTGTGCGGGTTCAGGGACACTATAGCCGGTGTGTGGTTGTCAGAAAACACACCTCGTCTGGTATAACGGCCCGTCCACACAGCGGCGTGCGTTGAAGCTTGCCGGCGGGCGTGTCTGAAACTCGATCAACAACCAATCACATGAATCTCCCGCCCCGGACACACAAGCACACGGTTTGATTGGCTAGAGCTTGTACTGGCATATGATTCGATTGGCTGACGCTTCCGTCGAAGCTTCAAAAGTTGAACATTGCTCAACTTTTGCAGCGAGTGACGCATAGCGACGCTCCCACAATGCAGTTCGGCGAAGCGTGACGTCACCCCATTCAAAGTGAACGGGCAGAAGCGTTTGAGCTTCAACGCACGCCGCTGTGTGGACGGGCCGTAATAGCTCCGATTAATGCATTTCACTGTGTGATCACAGCATTATGTTTACAGAGCGCAAGGCCCCTCGAGAGTTTGACGCTGTGCCCTTTCTATGTCAGTCCCCCATGGGCAAATCTTCCTTTTATGGAGGGTTTGGCGGCGGAGAATGCCCGTGGCCGAAAGGGGCAAATACGCTACAACAGCTCAAAACACTTCCATTGGGAGGAACGTGTTGCAGTTTAAAAAAGGATGCGAATATAAAAAAAACTAATGTACCAAAACACATGCAAATATGTTCACCAACTCCACATCACATGCGCAGCATTTAGAAAACATTCACTATAAGTGCTGCCTAATCGAAATGCTGCAAACACAAAATGCTGCAGGAAGCTCAAAACACAACGGAAACCAGGGGACAATAATATGTCCCTGTTGGCACAGTTAGTCTGTTTCATAATTGTAATTGTTTTGTCAGTTTAATTTAGATTATTGGCTTATACTAACTATAACTCAACTAATAAATAAACATTGATATAAATGTTATGTTAAAATATTCAGTAGCAGTATATAACATTAGCTCCACCAAGAAAACAAGCTGTGGTGAACAAATTAATGCATCAATAATCATAATCCGGTAATTTAGTACTGTATAGTCAAGATTCTGAAATGGGCCATTTTACTTTTGGTAATTGAATATATTGTGATGCTGATACTTTGTATTTTTACTTTCTTTTTACACTTAAGAACTTTTACTAAATTATAATACTTCTTCCACCGCTGTGAGGATTTGACAATGAGTCTCCGTCACTGTACAGTGGAATCTATCATTTTACTTTTGACTTTAGTTTTGTGTACAACACATTAAACCCATAACTTTCTTAGCCAGGGGATGTTTCCCAGAGAAGATCATTGACTGACGAAAGACGAAACTCAAAATGCAAATAATTCCACTCATGGCAAAATCAAACAGACATTGTTTATCAACTTTAACTAACTTACTGATATTAGAAGATGCTTTTCTTTATGTTGTGCTCCACTCCTACCCTGCCTTGATGCATACCAATTGTACACTGGTGGTTTATATTGCTCTGGAGTTTTCCCATAGGGCATCATCATGTCCTGTCATTTTGGTTGGCTATAAATAGTGTCTCTGTCTTCCCATGCAGAAGCATTAAGGCTCATGTAGCTTACAGTTCATGCCGTATGAGCCTCCAGTTAAATATTCAAACAGGGGTCAGCAGCCCGACTGACTGAAACCTGCATCAACACACCAAGACCAGTCACTAATGGTAATGAGGAAATGGTTTCTATTTGCTTGTATTAGTTATTTTTGGTGATCAGGATACACATACCCAGACTCTGACACAGCAAAAAAAGTACAGTATTTGAGTCAAACAATTGCCATCTGATTAAAGATCTGCAGAGTGATCAGTTCTTCCGCTGGTGGCTGGAAGATTTTTAGCAACAGTAATAGGTTTAATTTGAAATGTAGTGTTAAACATCAGAGACATGTCCCGGTAGAGACAGTAAATACTAATATGAAACCTGACCATGAGCAAATAGGATCCAATGAAGCGATGTTGGTTTAAAAGGGAAAATTGTGACGCAACAGTAGCACTAGATGAATCATCATTAGGAATCATGTTATAAATATATATCCAACTTGCATGACCAGTAGCTGTTCAGATACTGACATGCTTTTTTTAAATTGTTATTATATATTTTTAAACCACTAATTGATGGTACACATTTATTCTTGGTTCTATATTTATTTAAACCCATCTTTATTCCTCTTTCTCTCAGCATTTGGAGACGCAGCTGCCTCCAAACTCAAGGAGTTTCAGCTTCTCATCTATGCGTATTAAAAGTAAGTGAATCATTATCACAAGTGATGTCAAATGTCTTGATTTAAATAAAGACAATTCCTGCTTCTCATTTAGCTTTTATTTTGTTGATAACGCATCACGATATCAATGTGAATTTCTGCAGAAAGGCACCACAGTAATGAAGAGGGAGGATTCACACGGCGGAGAGGGTTGATGTCTTTTTCATCAGTACGGGAGACATCGAGAAAGGGTAAATCATATACTGTCATAATTCCTTACAGTTCACTATTGTTACAATCTGCCAAAAACCATAGACATTCTCATACAATAAAATAAACATTAATTTGTTTGCCCATGAAAAACACCAACTGGCCAAAGATTAGAAGTTAAAACTTGTAGACATTTAATTCTTTTGTATTTCTAATCCTAGAGTCAGTCCAAGATGAGGCCTCAAAGCTCCACTGTACCGAGTACCAGGAGAACGAGACAGGTATGAAGGATAGCAGATCTGCAGAAGTGGGAATATGTCACACGTGTCCAAGTCACAAGCAAGTCTCCTACAAATCTTAAAGAGGCCCTATTCTGCCTTTTGGGGTTTTCCCCTCTCCTGTAGTTTTTTCTATAGGTTTCTGTGCATGTAAATGATCTGCAAAGGCTAGACTCCCTGTGTTCCCTCCAGACAGAGTTTCTCTCCCACACAACCCCCCTCACCTGATTACATGTAAAGTCAATGCAGAGAGGCGGACAGACGCGAATTCGCTCCGGTGGCGAGCATGAAGCGGTTGATGCGAATGCCGCGGCGCGAGTGAGGCAATTGGAGGGGGCCGCGACAACCGCTCGAGTTCAATTGTTTCAACTCGAGCGCCAAATTCACGTGACACGATCTCACGGTAGCCAATCAGCGGTGAGGATCTCAGCCTGTCGTCACTGACGTTGAACCAGAAAACCAAAACATCAGCCGTTAGCTGTTAGCACTCAGAGCTCACATCTCCTCATATCTGTTCAGAAACTAGACAAAAGTTAAACATGAACAAAACACAGACTGTCTGTGTCATGGCGAATACAGTCGCTGGTTTATTTATGCCTGTAGGCCGTTGTTATGAGTGTGGAGCATATACAACGTTAGCTAAGCCTGATCGATGCGATCTCCATTCAGAAAACCCACATTTTAAAAGGTTTTTTGCCTGCCGTCTTGTTTGCAGACTTGTCAAAGCATGAATTCATGGTTTTTACTAACCAGTATCAGTATGTTGTTACTTCGGCATCATTTTGAAACGTGTATTACAATTAAATCACGGTAAAATATGTTCATTTGGTTGTAGTTGTAGCCCCCTTGACAGCAATTCTCTCTCTAGTTTAGCAAACTCAGCCCGACTCAGCCCTGTTTGTTGGCCTTGATAGAACCACGATTTAGTCGGGCCAGAAAAAAGGTGAAAAAGTAGCCCCGGGCCAAAACTAGGCCAAGTGGAAGCGCAACCAAAAACA